CTTATATGCATGTATGAAACTCTCAATAAAGTTTTTTGAAAAGTTAAAAAACACATAGACCTATATACTCAAACTTGAGGATTGTAAAAAAAAGAAAAGAAAAAAGGCAGATATGGAGACTGGAGAGAGAGGTTGGCAGTTAGGAGCATTGCATTCTTGCAGAGGCCCTGGGTTTAGTTCCCAGCACCCAAAAGGCAGTTCCCAATCACCTATACCTCAAGGTCAAAAAATATGATGCCCTCTTCTGGCCTTTGTGGACTGTGCACTCATGTGGTGCCAAACATAAATCCAGGCAATATACATTTAAAAAAGAAATCTTTTGTAAAATCAGGTTTAACTTTCAAAGCCCTGGGCCACACTGTGGGACTTTGCCTCAAAAAAAAAAAAAAAAAAAAGGGACACATAAATGTGAGTTTTTTAGGGTGCAAGATAGGGTGAATGAGAATGTCTGCTATGGGCTCCAAGGATTTGAACATTTTGTTGGTGGTGCTGTTTGGGGAGGTCTTAGCCTTGCTGAAGGAATCACATCTCTGGGGGCAGGCTTGGAGAGTTCTTAAGGCTTGTCAGATCTTCAGTCACTCTCTGCTTCGTGTGCCTGCTTGAAGATGTGAGTGCTCCAGTTTCCACTCCTGCCACCTCCTGCCACCATGCCTCCCCTACCATGATGGACTCCAATTCCTCTGGAATCGTAAGCTCAAATAAACTCTTCCTTCTATAAACTGCTTTGGTCGATGTTTTTATGATAGCAACAGAAAAGTAACTAATATAGTGTGCTTTAACTTAAATATGATAATACATATTTAATGCAGTTTACTAATATCATCTAAATGCTATGTTATGTGGTAAAGAAATAGAAAAAGACACAGTTATTTTCTTAATGAATATGGCTATATACACAAATATATTCTTAACAAAATAGGACAGAAACACTCATTTAAATATGCAGATCAAACAATCTCATAGACCTTAAGTAGGTGACACTGTATTGGGAGGTCTTAGAAGGTACAGCCTTGGCTGAAGGAAGTAGGTCACTGGGGGTAAGTTTGAGAGTTCTTTAGCTTGGACAAATTTCCAGTGGCTTCTTCTTCTTCCTGTACCCGCATGAAGATGTGATCACTCAGCTTTCTACTCCGGCCACCTCTGCCTCCCCTGCCTTTATGGTCTCTAACTCTCTGAACCATAAGCCACGTAAACTCTCCCTTCTATAAGTAGCCTTGGTCATGGTGTTTTATCACAGGAAAGGAAAAGTAACTAATACACTCAGCAAGCACCTCCGCAGGTTTCAGTTCTTTTTATGACAGGATTAACTATAGTTTCATTCCTGAAGGGTCTGGATTACCTGCTGAGGTGATTGTTGAGTGTACTAGTTTACCAGCCTGCCTGGATTGTGTGGTTATAATTTCCAGTTGACCTTAATAAAAGAACATAGTGGAGATGCCGTGAAGGATCTCCTGCACTTCAGACACACTCTTCCCTGCCTCTGTTGTGGAGAGCCAGTATAATTTCCTCCCGGAAGGCTAGAACAATCACCCATGCTAACACTGTAACTCTTTTCTTAGCCTATGGACTGAAGAACATCAGGAATTCACAGTGATCACAAGGGAGTTTTAGTTTCCAGTTCAATGAAGTGTTTACTGAGCCTCCTAGCAGAAGCACACCCACCTCTAGAACCAAAACTAGGCAATCAGAGTATAAAAGCACAGGAACAAGAAGCAAAAATCATGCCAGTAAGATTCATGGCAGTAAAAGAAACAACATCACATATTGGGTGCTGATTCAGAGCACATACAGGCAAATCATTATCCATAGTTCATGAATCAGTATGTAATCACACGTCTGGTCATTTTTCCTTCCCAGCAAAATATACAACCATGTGTTCTACCTGAAGTGCTACCCACTGTGAAGAATTCCCTTCCCAGTGTCCTTCAGGTTGTCCTAGAAAGAGGCTGTAATGCTGCAGCCTCTGGGTGGCGCCTTATAATGCCAAATTCTCCCCTGGGAGACCCAAGCACTCTCTGGGATCCCAGGGTCATGTGATCCTAACGCTGCCCTACAAAACCAACACTATGCATTCCATGTGGGGTTTTGTATAAAATTATAAAGTCTGAGAGAAAGTTACTTCCAAAGGCATACACCCATGGGCTCTTTCCCTACATCTCAGCTAAGCTTTTGAGATCCTCGCAGCCAGTACTGTGATTGACGAGCGCTGTGCCCTCCAGCACCCCACCAAGATGGCGATTTCTGGCTCCCTGGCTTCCTCCATGTCTGTCCTTAAGACCCTCCCACTCATGCAATTGAAGCTGACCGTTTGGGTGGTAGGGGTGATTGTCTCCCCCTGTGTGATTGTCTCTTGGGGTTTAGAGCTAGTTCTCTCAGAGGATACGCCCACCCAACATGCCTGCAGAATATGCAGAGCCACCTGTAAACTAGGGCCTACTCTTCTCTTCCTCAGTTGTGCACTTCCAATTTTATGGTTTAGCAAGTCAAATAATACCTAGCATATGAGGGGCAACTCAGGTCACCTGGTCACTTGGATATTTGGTGGCCCATTATCAAATATTCAGTTTCCACTAAGCCCCAGTAGCAGGCCAATAGCTGTCTCTCAAAGGAAGAGCAGTTGTCTGAGGTGGCAGAGAGCCTTTCTCCAACCCTCCAGGGG